GTGGTCTGCAAGAGAGGTATGTGCGCAGGGTTCCCTGTGGGGTGCCCCTCTGGGGGTTTGATTTGGATACCAGTAACTGAACAAAAATATACAATGCATAACAGTAACATAACAACAAAAGTATATACATATAACAATTCTGCCTGAGGTATGGCCGGGCACTGCATCTACGTGCCTTGGGGTTGAAGCTAAGCTTCTTGGTCTGGTGTACCTCCCTGCCTGTGGCTTCATTTGTCCTTGGTTTGTGACTGTAGCGCCCTGTGTGGGTTTGTTGCTTTATGTCGCTACCCAAATTTGGTGTTTTTTTTTTTTGTAGAAGTCAGTGGGGTAGTGGGTATTGTACCAGTGGGGTGTTTCTGATGGACTTTTTGTCGGTAGGGTATGGGTCTCTAGTCTACACGTGGGTTGGACACTGGCTGCATCTTTTCCTTGTCCTCCCTCGAATTACCCAGTGGTGTCATAGGCTTTGTTGGGGGACTGAGTCGTCTAACTACGGCCTCCTTCTCCCCCCCTTTTTTTTTTTCCCCTCTCTTTTCCACTCTCTCTCATAGGGGTAATGGCCCTGCAGTGCCGCACACTCAGTATCCACCCTATATGCTATCTTTACATTCACAGTACTTTACCCATCCCTGGTTTCAGACCGACTCTGCGAGGGTGTTCACCCCTGGTATAGGAAAGTCTTAGTTCATTTTCTTTTGGGTTTTCTCCAGTCCGGGGAGAGTCGTGGCGTGCCCGTCTCTGTGGTCGTCGTAGCTGGTATTGCGATGTCCCAGGCCTGCAAAATTTTTCGTCCGTCTTCTGGCGTCTGGATGGCCGTGATTTTCCCCTTTCTGTTGACCAATACTTTAGTTGGGTATCCCCAGCGGTACGGAAGGTGATGTTCTCGTAGGGTCCGGGTGATGTCCCTGAAGTCTCTGCGGCGTTTCAAGGTAAAGGCCGAGATGTCAGCGTATAGTGCGACATGCTTGTATGCGTCTGGTAGGCCTTTGTGCGTTCTGTTGGCGTTCAGGACTGCTTCTTTGGCGTGGAAGTAGTGCATGCGAAGTAGAACATCACGAGGCGTCTCTGGGGGCAAGAAACTTGGTTTTGCCGTACGGTGGATTCTATCAATCAGCAGCATCTCTTGAGGCCAGTCTGGCAGTAGGTGTCTCAGGAGGCCTGTCACATGGGCCATGAGGTCAGGAACACTCACTGTTTCTGGTATGCCTCGTATGCTGAGGTTATTTCTCCTTGCGCGGTCTTCCATGTCGGCAATTTTCATGTCTTGCGCTTCTATTTTGGCTAATATGGAGTCTACTGTACCCGCCAGGTTATTGTGAGCGGTGTCATAATCCGCCATTTTGTCCTCTACTCTTGAGGTTCTTGTCCCCAGCTCCTGCACATCTTTTCTGATGTCCTTTATTGTGGACTCTAGCTGTAGCAGTAGTTTTGCTGCCATTTCATCCAGCAGTGCTTTAATGGTGCTGTGTGTTAGTGCAGGTTCAGTCTCCTCCTGGTGCTCCCTGCTGTCTGTCAAATCCTCGGCGCCATCTTGGGACAGCTCGTGTGGCGGCTGATTTCTAGTTTGCCCAGCTCTGGATACAAAGAAGTTGGCCTTCTCGGTTCTCTCCGTGTTCCTCTTCCCCTTAGGTTGCGACATGTCTGTCTGTGTGGTCGTTTGCGGGCTTAATTGCTCCTTTGAAGCCGGTCACGGAGCGGAGCCTCTAGTGCATGCGGCCGCTCCCGTTCACCTCCAGGCCACGCCTGTGAATATGTTTTTATTGAACATTTCCAACATGGAAAAGAAAAATGTGGACTCGCAGGTCACTTTGGTTATTTGTATATGCTTATACATCGTAAGGTACGGTCTGTCAGATGTGTATTGGCGACTCGCAAGTCGCTTTCTTGAATAAATGGCGTGTGTATGATGGACTCGCAGGTCCGGTAGTACATAGTTATGAATAGTACTCTTTTATGTTTGATGTGTACCATTTCTACGTTGGGTAGGTTTGTATCTCCTGCAGGTTTTCATCTATTCCCCCGTGCCCACCCTGTAGCCATTAGGCAGTAGTGAGACATGTGCGCCTCCTAATGTGTAGGGTCTCATCAGGACACGCAGACCCCTTGTGACCTCGTGTCTAGAATCCTGAATGGCGGTATAGTGGTGTGTTGACCCCCTACTTTGGTAAGATTCGGCTCTGCCCAGCACTACATATGGTGTTGATGGGGATAACCTAAGGGGCATCCTGCGTTTCCGTCTAACCTAATAAACTTTGTAGCTCACGAAACTGGTGAGTTTCCACACCCTGCACCCGCGAGGCCGCAGGCCGTTTTGGGTATTGCAAGCGGCCACACCCTGACAGGTGTCAGAGCCTCCCCCAGTACGACCCCGTGGGGTCAGCCTCTGCGCCGCCCCCCGAGCCCACACTCTGCCCGGACCTGACAGGAGGTATGGGAGTGGCGTAGGGTATGAGAGTGAGGTACTGTGCTTTGGGGGCAGGTGTGGGTTGTCCTGTTAGTCTCCTGGCGTCTCCTCCTGGGGATGGTCAGTTCCTCCCCCCATGGTCAGATACACAGTCCAAAATGCCTCCGTACCCACCGTGCCAGCCAGGGTGTCCATGTGTCTAAGTATGTCTGTGCTCGGTCTTGGGCTGTCTACCAGATCTCCTCTGTAACTCGTAACTCCTCCATTCTAGTAAACCACAGGGAAAGCATTGGGGTTGTGTCTTTTTTCCAGTACAAAGGTATTAGGTGTTTTGCGACATTAAGAATTCGGATGGTCAGGGAGCGTTTGTATCGTGGTGTGGGGGTTGTCGTGTGGTGCAGGAGGTACGGGGCGGGCTGGAAGGGTGGGACATTGTCTGTGAACAGGACCACTATGGCAGCTATTTTCTCCCAGAACGGTACTATGAGTGGGCATTCCCACCATATGTGGAGGAAGGATCCTACCCCTCTCTTGCACCTCCAGCAGAGGCCGTCCGTGTCTAAGTGCATTCTCTGTAAGTGTTCTGGTGTCAGGTACCATTGCGTGAGGACCTTGTAGGCTGTTTCCTGAGTTTTGCTAGCAATTGCGCAATGGTGCAGTAGGTCGCAGATCTTGTGCCACTGGGTCTTGGTGAGTGTTTCCCCTATGGCGGTCTCCCATTTGGACATGAAGGAGGGTGGGGGGGTCCCTGTTGTCGTTGTAGCATAGAGTAGAGGTAGGAAATGATATGGGGCATGGGCTCCGGGTCCTGGCACAACTGATCGAATGTCGTAAGGTCCCTATACACGTCGGGGTGTTGTGGTATGTGGTAATGTAGTTCTTAATTTGGGTGTAGCTAAATGTCGTCATGAAGGGGTGGGTGGGTGTGCCCGTGAGCGTCCGTAGGGGCAAGATTTTCCCTTTGACAGTCATGTCTCGGAGTCTGGGTATGTTTTGTGGGAGGACGGAGCGGAGGTTTCCTGGTCTTATCCCCGGTTCAAAGTCCGGATTGTACACCAGAGGTAATAGTGGGGATGGGAAGGAGGAGAGACGTAGTTTCCTCGCTTGTGAGTGCCATATGGTTAGAGTGGCGGTGATGAAGGGTTGTTGGTAGACTAACCGCCTACCAGTCGTGGGGTCCAGCCACAGAAGGGCTGAAAGGGGCCTGCCTGCGTGGTGTGTTTCGATGGCCTTCCAGGGTTTGCTAATCCCCTCTTTTGCCCATTCCATGCATGTGGCATGCTTGGTAATACAATTTGAGGTCAGGAATGGCCAGGCCTCCTGGGGAGTGTGAGTTGTGTGTATTTGAGTCTGGGTTTAGTGCTCTTCCAGATAAATTTAATGATAAATTTAATGAGGAGGGTGCGGATTGCTGAGAAGAAGGTGGTAGGGAGTGAGATTGGTAGTGTCTGGAATAAGTAAAGTACCCGTGAGAGAATGTTCATTTTGGCGATGGCAACCCTGCCAAGCCAGGAAAAGTGAGATTCTTCCGTATGGTTCCCAGCAGTGGGGTGAAATTCATATGGTATAGTTTGGATAGGTCGGCCGTGAGCCTCACACCCAGGTATTTAATTTCGTCGGATTTGGTGTGCCCTCCTCCGGGAGGAGCCAATGTTGAGGATAGAGGATTTAGCATAATTGATCTTGAGGTTGGCGATTTGGCTGTATGTCTTAAACTCTGCCATGAGGTTTGGGAGGGAGATTTCTGGGTTAGTGATGAAAAATAGCATATCATCCACATATGCTGCAATTTTGTGGTGGTCTGCCCTCACTGTCACCCCCGAAACATCTCCCTTACATCTCCCGAAACATCTCCCCTGTAAGAAGGGCTCCAGGGCCAAGATGAAAAAAAGTGGCGACAGGGGGCAGCCCTCCCTGGTTCCGTTTCAGACTGGGAATGCATCCGTATAGACCCCGTTTAAGCACACCCTGGCCGTGGGGGATGAGTAAAGAAATTCTATCCACTGGCGCATATTATTCCCCAGGCCGATGTGTTCCAGTACCGAGAATAGATAGTCCCACGATACCCTATTGAAGGCCTTCTCCGCATCCGTAGAGAGGAGGAGAAGGCTCTCCGAGGTGCCCTGTGCGTGGTGGATCAGAGAGAGGGCCCCGACTGTATTATCCCTGGCTTCTCTGTGGGGGGACGAATCCCACTTGATCAGGAGAAATTAAGTCTCGTATGTGTGGATTCAACCTTGTAGCTAGTATTTTAGCGAACAGGCGTAAGTCGCAGTTAAGTAGCGATATCGGCCTGTAGCCCGTACACCGTTCGGTATCTCCCCCCTCCTTTGGCAACAGGACAATGTTGGCCACCAGTGTTTGCTGAGGGATTGTATTCCCTCTGTTATGGAGTTGAAGGGCGAGATATATTGGGGGGACAATGTGGCCAGGAAGGTTTTGTAGTATTTGAGGGGGAGGCCATCTGGGCCCGGGCTTTTGCCTCTCTTTGAGGTTTTGATGGCCAGGGCCAGTTCCCCCTCCGTCAGTGGTGCCTCCAGGGCCTCCGCTGCGTCTGAGGAAAGTTTGGTTTTGGTATATTTAGTGAGGTATATGTTCATGCGGGTTGCTCCCAGTTTTGGGTCTGCTCGAGGGGTGTGGGGGGGGGGGTCGCGTAAAGGTCCGTGTAGAAGCGTGTTACAGCTGTAGTAATTTGGTCTGGCTTGTGATGTAGTTGGCCTGCGGCGTTGCGCATGCTTGCAATATATGTCATGGAACGTTTTTTATTGATCATTCTGGCCAGCAACCGGCCGCACTTGTCTCCTTCCATGTAGAAAAAAGATTTAGTGCGCTGGAGGGCCATAGTGTACGATTGCCGCAGGACCCGTGCTAGTTCTTCGCGGGCTGCTGTGAGTTCCCAGAGAAGTGTGTCATCTAGTGTTTGTTTGTGGGCCTGTGTTAGGGTCCCTATCTTGGCGGTTAGTTTTTGGATCGTGTGTTCCCGTGCCTTTTTCAGGGCAGAGGAGTGTGAGATAAGGATCCCTCTAATCACACACTTGTAGGCCTCCCATGTCAAGAGGGAGGATGTGTCCTGTGGTAAGTTCTCGGCTAAGTAATTTGTCAGGGCTTGTTGTACGTCTTGGGCCACCTGCGGGTTGAATAGGAGGTTTTCATGGAGCCGCCATGTCGTGGTCATCCAATATTTTAAATGACAAAAAAACCTATATCACACTTAAAAAGGATCCAACAGCACAATTTAACTTAAAAACCATATTGGAGAATGCTAAGGCTAATAATATCATTTCACAACCTAATTTAGATTTTTTATTACAAAATAATCAGATTTTTTTATTTATAATTCTTTATTTTTGTAGTGCATACAGTTGGAACAGTAATGCTTGTGGTACCCCACCGGCAGTCCACTCGCTAATTTCAACAACAATAGATACAGTGGGGAGCGATTGGACAGTGCACATTTTGAATATGGTATAGACTGACAAAGTACATTTCACAAGCTTAAGTAGTTCGAGACTAGGCTAGTAATGACGCATGAAGAGCAGAGTTTCAACGTTAATGAACAGGTTAATTAGGCATGTTTAGCTAGTGGGCGCAGTGAGTGTGAGATATGAGCTGTCCATGCTTAGTATGTATCATAAGTGATGTTCAGGTGTAAGTCTGTTTATATGCAGGTATATATGTGTACACCTGGGCTTGCTTTCCTAACCTGTTACACAGGTGACTAGGTGAACACAATGAGTTAAGTGCTTGTCATACAATAGCATGGGTAGACAAAACAGTGCTAGGGGACAAGTCTGGCCAACAGAGCTAATTAGTCAAGGTGGTTGCTAGCTAGGAGTTGTTATTGGGACACAGAGCTATTAACACCTCTGGGTTCTGTAATCGTGGAAAGGGGGTAACACTGACATTGAGAGTAACAAGAGTCTTTAAGAATAACAAGAGTCTTTACATTGCTGGAGATGATCTTGCTGTGTGTTAGCAGGAGCCGCTTTATACGGTTATCACACAGTACCACCGATGTGCTGCAGCAGGGCGTTCAGCATTAGTGGGTCCCCGAGATTTTCCGGTCCATGGACCTGTGAACCTCCCCACTTCACTCTGTCATGTCTCCTTGTGTGGTGAGTGCTGTCTAGGCGAGTTCTGCTGCCGGCACTTCCATGAGAGTGTGATTTGGTCCTACTTGCAGTGTCCATGAGCTTTACTGCCCTGTAGTAGACTGGTAGGATAATAGTGGGTGCTTTTCTCTTTGACTGTGTTGTTTTCCTCACTCTTGACCTCTCTGGCAGCTCGCGCACATGGCCGGCGCTCGGCGGCCATCTTGTGTACTGTCGCCCGGGTGATGTTCCCTGTTGATTGGGCCAAGGTTGGTGTGCTGGTTGGTACCTCTGCAGACCGGGATGACCCCCCCGGTCCAGGGGGGGGGGCGGACGCGAACCACCGGCCAGGAGACCCAGGAGAGCGGCCGTCCCTTCCCGGCTCAAGCCCCAACGAACTCCGAGCCCGGCCAGGTTACTGTCGGTGCCGGACCGGGACCCATGCGGCATCCCCGCTTTCCCCAGTGACTGGTGGTCCTTGTGGACATCTGTTGGACCCTCCGGTCGCGGTTATCCTCCAATTTGCTCCGGCTTTTGGGCCCTGGAGCGGGAGCTCAGACAGAACGCGTCTGATCCCGTCGGCGGCCAGACCCCGCCCCCCCCAGATTTTTCCTATTTTTTATTTTCTTCCAAAGACCCACAAATGTCTTTTCAATCCTCCAGGCCGCCCTATCATCAGTGGGGTTATCTGTTACCGCCAATCTATCAGCCTCTGCAGATGCGTATCTTCAGAAATACGCACAAGGAGCTCCATTGTGTGTAAGGGACACTAAGTCCTTTTTACAGGAAATTGAAAACATCGAATGGAACCCTGACTATAGTTGGGCGACATTAGATGTGACCTCACTATATACGGTCATTAGACATGATCTGGACTTAGAGGCCATTGATCATTATATGGCCCTAGACCTCGACTTAACATCAGGTTTAAGCGAGTTCATTTTAATTTTGGTCAAATTTATTTTGGAGCATAATTATTTCTTTTTCATTGGGGAATTTTATTTACAAATCACGGGTATCGCGATGGGCACCAAGTTTTCCCCCAATTATGCCAACACCTACATGAGGAGATGGGAGGAGTTATTCGTATGGTGTTGCCATGGCTGGAGGGACAACCTGGTTTTCTGGCGGAGATACATTGATGATGTTATTATTATTTGGAGAGGGTCTTCTATTTTGTTTCAGGACTTTGTTAATGTTTTAAATAGTAACCAATATAATATTAAATTTATCCCTATGTGGAATAAGGATGAAATCAATTTTCTTAATATAACTCTTTTTTGTGATATGGCCCGATAAAAACCAAATGCTTTTTTAAGCCAACGGATGGCAATGGATATGTCCATCGGAATAGTTGCCATCGCCAACTGTGGCTCCAAATCTGCATTTATGTCCCAGTATAATCTGGATCATGGAAGAATAAAAAACAAAAAAACAGGAGCAAAGATGCTACTGGTCTCAGTGCAAACGAAGCCCTGAGATCAGGTACATCACCTGGATATATATATAGCAATGTAGAATCAGGGTAATAATGTACTGGCTAATATATCGAAAAATAATATCTAAATTGTGAGACCATAAAGTAAGTGAAAAATAAAGTATATACAAGTGTAATTAATGCAACTATGCAACCAGGATATGAGCCAGGTAAGGGTAACTCACATGTATAGGTATGTGATCCAAGGTACTAAAAGATATATCTTTATTGAAAAACTGACTTAAAAGAGAAAAATCAATCCCAATGTATTACCCCTATCCCTGGTGTACACTTCTCTTAGTGACACTGTACCCTATAAGGTGGAATTTTCAGAATCTGTACTCACAGGTTGAACAAAATATAAAGTTTGAGGAATCCCAAGTGTAGTTATAATATAGTTACAGTGATTGACTCAGTCAGTCTGTAGCTAGTGATGATTACAGCAAAATAATCTAAATAGGTCTAGAAAGGGTTACAGTGCTAGATTTCAGAGGAGAAATACTGTCAGACAGCCAGTGTGGAGAGAAGGTTATGTTAGATCAATAGGTCAGTTTCAAATAAACTGACAGTAGAATTTTATAAAGCCTCTCTCCCTGGTAAACTAGCTAGACAGGCATAGAAGCAGAAAGATTAGATAGTGAATATCAAAATCATGTTTACAGTAGGAGAGTGATTAAATCAAACAATGCCCAGTGCCCATGACACAAAATAAAAAGGAAACAACGCCCGACGCGCGTTTCGGTGCTTTGTATAATGCACCTTCGTCAGGGAACGGACCTGACAGGCAGTCTTATGTATCTCCAATCCCATCACATGAAAGCAACCGATCTACATTCAATTATGCCCTGTGCTTCTTTATACAAATATATATCCAGCCACTACATGGGGAAGTGTCTTCCCCCATATTTAATCAATGTGATAAATTTATGGGCGGGTCCAAAACGGACTAGATAGGTAGGCTTATGGATTAAAAAACAGCTTACAAAACCATTGGTCTATATTACTGCAGGACCCAGTCCTGGGAACCCACCTACAAGATCAACCTACACTCATATATAAATAAAATCGTAATCTCAAAAACATGTTAGCTCCCACTTACGCAATAAAAATTGATGTTGGGAACACCATGGGGCTCTCTGGTACCTTTGCAGGATGTCATTCTTGTAAAGCTTGTTCCACTATGTCTTTGGATAGAGTAAATCAATTCTCCAGCTTTACAACGGGAGAAATTTTTAAGATTAAGTCTGAGGTTGGATGCCACACAGACTTTGTAGTTTATTTGCTGCAGTGCCCGTGTGGCAAACAGTATGTCGGACGTACTAAAAGAATCCTAAGGTCAGGGTTTTAGAACATATAAATGATATAATAATAATAAAGAAGGGCCTCATGACACATTCGGTCCCAGTTCATTGCAAGTCTTGTCCCTAATTTTCATTTAAACATTTTTAATGTATAGGTATTGAAAGGGTGACATCATATTGGCGTGGTGGTGACAGGGTAAAGAAACTTGCTGTTACACTAGATTATGTTAATTTATTTCAAAAATTATTGTTTAGAACATGAGAGAACAATTGACATTCATCAATTATTGCACATATTCACTTTAATATATTCACTGTCACTTTAAAGAATTAATCTTTGATTGAATGATGTCCAAAAAAAACAAAAAACAGAGATATAATTAATAAAAAAAATAAAAATAATTTATGCTATGCAATAATTACATATATATAAGTTTATTTCCTTGCACTTTAATTCATATTGAGGGTTCTGATTAATGATCATCCATGGTATTAACAACCCTTCTCTTTTGCAGATCAAATACTTGCTGTTTAGTTTTACTAATACCATTGTTAAATCTTGCAATATCTTTGGCGACCACTAAAGGTTGCACACTACATCTGTGAACTCTACGGCACATATACAGCCGTCTTGATCTCTGTGGCTCACATCACTCAGCAAATGGAACGTGGAAGTGTTCAATGGAACGCACTTCCGGTTCTGGTTTTCGGCAGATGTCTAATTACCAGCCGAAACATAGGAGATAATTCTTTGAAGATCTACAGGTGATCGAGTGCAAGAAGGGAACCAGTAGGACCACAGAGGAGAAATAACGTCCTCTGAACCACCAATGAACTCAAGGATTAGCCCTATTTAAAGGGACCATGGGGTGGGAATTGTTAGGCTGTTATATTTGTATAACCATCTGTAATTTACTTTGATTTTATGATCTCTGAGGAAGTTCCAAGCGTGGGATGAAACGCATAAGACCTCAACTACTTCTGTTTCACCAATTTTATTTGAGTTATAATAAAAGCCGCTATTTTATACTACCATACGGAGTCCTGATTTCCTGCTATCCTACAGACAGCGGAGAGGGATCCATAGCCCCTAATTATATTGGGGGAGGCACCCTTTAAGTGCATAATAGGTCTACATCTTGTGAGTGCATTTTTGTACAATGCACATTATTTGTTAAAATTGTATTACACTATGTTTTGTCTATCTTCTTTTTAGATTCCACAACAGTATCCCATATGTGTTTTGCTTGTATTCTGGTTTAAAAATCACTACCTGGGAAGTGATCCTTGGGAGGCTGTCCACTTG